CTCGGCGGATACCAGGTAAGCAGGGCCTGTTTTGAACATTCTGTTAATAACAAACAAAAACTATTGACAGAACTCACTGACGCACACCGACAACTACCCCAAGTACAAGATTGAAAGTGTGTGGACTCCGCCAAAGAACTTCGCCAGTGACATTGTCTTCCGAGCCACAGTAGTGCAGTCAAAGAACGTCTTCTGGACGGCCATCGACTCTGAGCCGATAGAGGTGTCCTCCAGTGGAGTCCCCTACTCAGTGTCGCCGAACGGTCGACTGAACACCTTCAACATTCACAATCCGAACCCGTCCTCCTATCCGGAGTCGGTGAACTCGCCGCAGGTGCCCAGCGGCTTTGTGGTGAACAAGGACGCCGTCGGGAATGGCCACTCGCCGTACCACGTGGCACCGACGATGAACCCTCCTCAGTCGCCCTTTCTCAGCGTGCCCCAGCAGCCCCTAGTTCAGCGCTTCCCACTGTCGCCTGATTCGCATGCGAGCAGTCGAGAGCACCACTACTACCTCGACTACAACGTCTGCAGCCGCAAGCTGTGCTTTGGCCTGCCCAGCGGCTGCCTTCGAAAGCGAACCTGCATCATGCTGCTCACCGCATCCTTTGTGCCGTACACCGACGCCACAGTGGAGTTCGAAATCATCGCCGACCACAAGTCTGCCTTCAGCAACAAACGACTAGCGAGCTTCGGCCTGTCCTCCTCCATCACCACCACTTCGGCCTACTACTCAATGGCATTTTCGCATGACAAAGTTATGGGTAAGGGCTATCTTCTTACACCATTTTAACCCCCCCCCCTTTTTACTAACACTCCTCTTCCCTTTGTGTCAACGACAGGCAACGACAGTGTCACTGACTGTGCACTCCTCTCCGACGGACGACCGCAAATTCTGCACAGCATCAACATTGGCAAGGCAAACGAAGAACTGTCCGACAATGAGTTTCATGGCGTCACCGTCGTCAACACCACCTACTCAAATGGCATTCTCTACTGCAAGTGGCGCAAGAGAAGGCGTTTCACACTGCGTGGAACGAGGTTTGACTTGAAGGACTACCGCTACTACATCATGCTCGCCTATGGACGACTCACCAGCCTGAGCAGCTTCCGCCGAAAGGAGCCGCACATGGACAAGGTCCTCTCTGAGTCACAGGTTGACTTTAGGCTGATTGGCTTCATTTCGGCTCACTCAAAGATGTTCCTCGTCAAAATGCATGGTATGCAGCTGCTAAATGATTTTGAATTTTCCCTTTCTCAAACACTCCATTTAAATCTTAGCGTCATTTATGGTGGCTGCCTGGCTTGGTTTTGTCAGCATTGGCATCATGTCGGCAAGATACTTTAAGCCACTGTGGTTGTCCCATTCCATGTTTGGTGTACGCATCTGGTTTGCAGTAAGTTACTGTCAACACCGACCATTGAAATTATGAATTCTAATCTTTGCTTTGGTAGGTTCACCGATCGTGCATGCTGGCAGCCCTTATTTTCATAGCTGTTGGTGCCATAAGCATCTTCCTCTACGCAGAAACATTTATATTTGTAAGTATTGTATGTCTGATTAAAATCAACATCTTGTGCTAACATCTGTACTGTTAAACTGTAGGGTCCGCATCAAATATTTGGCCTTGTTGCATTAGTCGTCGCAGTGGTGAACCCAATTGGCGCCGTTTTCAGGCCTGAGTGTGACGCTGAAAACCGCTGGGTATTCAATTGGATTCACTGGTTTGTGGGTAACATTGGTCACATCAGCGCTATAGCGGCCATCTTTTTGGCCTTCCAAATGACCACCATTCGCCTACAGCCAGCCTACCTCTGGTCAATAGCCTTCTATTTATTTTTTCATTTGACCTCGCACTCACTCTTGCAGTTGTACTTTTGCAACTGTCGTCACACAAAAGGTATTTAAATGTTGCTATTTGAAATCAAGTACAAATTCTCACACTGAAAATCATACTTTCTTCAGAATCAGAAGACATCAGCCGAAACTCTGATTCCATTCAGAGCAACAACACCAGCCAGCGAATAGACAGTCTGGCGGACACCTCCTTTCTTCGTTACTTTTTCATTCTCTACACCAATGTCATTATCATCTTCGTGATCACCATAATCGCTTTGATAGTGTTCAATTAGTCAACAGTGTCGCCTACTCTCTCTGGCACTGTCACTTTTGTTCTGCTTTTGTACATAGTCACACCCACACACCTTCATTTCGAAGCACGTCATCACAGCACACAACACACAATCTCTCTCCCTCCAGTCCAGTTCTTCCTTTTGCTCGAATATCTATTGCTACTGAATTGGACTGGCCGTATGACACAGCAGCACAAAACCCACATCTCTCTCCTCTCATCTTCACACGCACCAAAGTAGCCGGCTGCTCACTGTAGCAACCACAACTTCTAAATAAATTATTCCCCCCCCCCTTCAAAGTGCTGGTAGCTAAGCAGAGCCGAGTAAGCGAGCTGAGCAACATCCGCAGGAAATGCCGTCGTTTTCAATATATCAATATTCGATCTTTAGTTTTGTTCTGGTGGCAATGTGTACTGCAGGCCACCTAAACTGACTGGAAATCCTCTCAAAGCATGCCACTGAGAGAAATGTGAGCAAATGAATCAAACAGAAAATTTCAATACAAGTTGGCTATCACTGAAAAGCCTGCCAATTCTACTTTACTTCGGCTCCATTCTGATCATGTCTACAGTATTTTGTGCCTTTCGCTTTTTTAACCGCAGCAAAAGAAGTTCAAAAGATGCTGAAAAGAAAAAGCAAAATGCCGCAAACTCAGATGGTCACACCAGTCGCTTTCGCAGCGCTTGTAGAGCTGTCTTTTTCAGCTGCACAAGAATCAATTTAAACAAAGATAACAAGTATTTTGTAAACAAGAAAAACACCGAAGCTAACGATCAAAAACTTACTGCAAGAGCTGGAAAAGAAACTACTTTAAATATTCCGAACGCCAGCAATGACAAACTGTCTAAGGGTAAGTGACTTGCACCACCTCTTAAACTGTGCTTACTGATACTCAATCAGTTGTTCTCTCTTTGTCAACCACAGTAAATCACCTGTCACCTGGAGAAGATGAGTTTTTGGAGAAGCAACAGTCGCGAAGCCACTCGCCGGCTGCTCAAGTGAACAGGGAAGAAGCCAGTCTAACTCAAATCGTGATAGCGCAAATTGAACACGACAACAACGAACGCAATAGAAAGGTGATCGAATCAACAACTGCTCGACACTTTCCACAGGACGACGCCAACTGGAAGAGTAGTTTAGATAAGCATCAAGGTGGCCAGTCAAAAAATGTACAGGCAAGCGCATACAGGCCAATCGATGCAGCTGTCAAGAATACCGAACAAGCACTGATTCAGCACAAGCTGAACGTTCCGCTGGGTCAGAGCAAAGGCGACACAGCGGAGGAGGAGGAGGAGGACCCCATATACGACGTTCCACCGTCAAAGTCGCTGATCAACCTGAACTCCAATGCCGATGAGGAGATTAGTCTGCAGAAGCAGCACCACATTCAGGTGAACAGTGACCTGGCGTACTTTCACACTTCATCGCCAAACATCTTCCTTGCCGTGGCGCAGGAGGAGTCCATTTACGATACACCTAGCACACGGTCTTTAGCCGTGTAGTCTCTCTTTTTTTCTCTCTCTATTTGCTTATGTCATTGCACCTGCACTTAAATAAAACAAAATCTTAAAAAGCAACGATCTGTGGGGGATTACGTGAGCGGTTGCACGATTTAGAGAAAGAGAGTCAAAGAATCGAATGTCAAATGTCAGTGGCCTCTAAGAGTTCAACTCAGTTCCTGATTGGCGACTAGGGTGCAGAGAAATGCTGTGCGTGTGCAATGCAAAGAATTGCATCCGCACGGCAGAGAGTGAGAGAAGGAGGAGGATGCTCGGACGAGGATGCAGTTTTCAATGGCGCACAGCGCTCCATGGCCCCTAAAACCAGTTTCAGCGGTGGAAGGCGAAAAGGCAATGGCAAACATGAGCAGTCAAATGAAACAGGCTCTCTATTTAGGTCAATAGCTGCTTGAGAGAAACTGCTAAAGAGCCAGGGGAGAAAAAGAGAAAGAGAGAGTGGCAAGAGTGGCTACCGAGTAGCAATCGGTTTGACAGCATCTTTCTCGCTGTCAGATTAGAATACACACACACACACACTATGCACTTTCCCTTGCTCTCACTGGCCGTATGACGCCACTGCTTTCACGGAACAAAGTCTGCAGAGACTCAGGCAAAGGTTGCCACAGAGAAAGTGAAAGTGCCGCCGCTGCCGACGCCGTCTTCGTCTTGAGCCGTGTTCACTAACCTCGATCGAACACAACAGCAGCACTGCAGCCGTCCGTTACTTGCGGAACTAGTGGAGTGAGCGCGTGCCCTTGCCCAACAGGTAACGTACAGTCGTCCACTGAAGTGCTCTCTTGCCATTCAACTAATGCAGTGCCTTCTCTTCCCTTCTCTGACAAAAAAGAGGCAACACAGCTTCTCACAATGAAAGGGCCCCAGTGGACTAGAGTGTCCTACTGCTCAGACGACAGTTCAGCTAGAATTGCTGTGATGATCACCCAGTTGACAGTGCACCACTTACTGTTTTCCTCGTCGAATGTGCATCAGCACTAGAGCATTGTCGTCATTTGTCAACTCTACTTTTGCATTATCTTATGCCGAATCAATTTAAGTTGCTGCTATAAATATACCATCAACAAAAATGAATCAATTTAAAATTAGTGAAATCTATTCGTAATCGACTCATCAACGATGACGTCATGAACTTCAAGAACTTTGTCGTGTTCAATCGCATCAAGATATTCAGTGCCGTATCCAATTCAATCATGCCAAATGTACTCTGTTGCCAACATAAAAGTGTTCAATTTATTAATATTAAGCTTGTCAATTTTGTGAATTTTCTTTGTCAAAACGGTACTGTGTCCAGAAAAAGTCAGAAAGAATCTCAAGAAGCAAGTAACGTTTTCTTCAAACTATACTTGCACAATGACTGACGCCGTTTGTATCAATAATGTCAACTTCAGCTATGGCTCAAATAAAATATTACGCAACTTTTGTGCCCATGTCAAGTACTCGCAAATATACTCTCTACTCGGTCCGAGTGGCGGAGGTAAGCAGTTGTGTCAATAAATAAACTGAGCGCTGTTTAAACTTCTTCTTCTCCTTATCCAGGCAAAACCACCTTGCTCAAGTTGATCTTGGGAAGGTTAAAAGTACAGCAGGGGCAAATCAGTGTACTGGGCATGCCGCCGGGAGAGGCCAACTCGAACATTAGCTTTATGCCACAGGAAATTGGCTTGTGCTACAACTTTAGTATCAATCAGACCTTGCGATACTTCAAGCTTATTTACCAGATATCAAATGAGGACTTCTATACAAGGTACGGGAAAAGACGATTGATTTTCATCATGTTCTTTTGTTGACAAGTAAAATTTGCACACAGACGCAAAACGCTGACCAAACTGGTCAACTTACCCAATGGAGACCGGCTGGTTAGTCAGCTGTCCGGCGGTACCCAACGTCGTCTTTCCATCGCTGTCTCTTTGATAAACAATCCTGGTTTGGTCATTCTGGATGAACCTACGGTAAAATGGCAGAGTTAGTTGAGCTTTTCAGTAACTAGTTGCACTGTATTTGATTTCAGGTGGGCATTGATGCTGTGCTGCGCAATGAAATCTGGCACTATTTGGTGGACAAGTGTCGCCAGGGCATGACCATCATCATTGTGACGCACTACATTGAAGAGGCAGCCAACTCGAATCGCGTTGGTCTCCTCCGAAATGGCCATCTACTTGCAGAAGACGATCCCAAGCGGTTGCTGGCCCTCTACCAGGAGCCTAACCTGGAGGCGGTCTTCCTAAAGCTGTGCTGCTTTGAAGACAAAAGCATTACAAGCGGGAAAAGGTACACAAATCAGCCAGCAAACTACAACCAACAAAATGGAAACGGCAATGGCTACTTCGATTCAGCAACATATCCCGCCAAACCACCGGGCCACAAAGACCCCAACAACAATGAGATGTTTGTGGTGACCAGTGCTGACACCGGTGGCAATGACCGGAACGACAGCATCAGCTCAAGCAGCACCTCCTCCTTTGGCACACGCCTGTGGGCTGTCAAGTTTTGGATTCTGGTCTCACTCGTCTACCGCAATTTGGCTAAATTTTTCTACTCCTACTTTTCCATCATCATCATACTTTTGCCTGCAACGCAAGCGCTCATCTACTGTCTAGCCGTCAGCAAAGATACAGTTCATGTAAGTGCTTCTCGATCAAAAACATTTGTTTTTTCTTCAGCATTGCCTAATCTTTGTCATTGCAGTTAAAAGCAGCAGTGTTCAATCAGGAGCTTGAACCAGGTTACGGAAATGAGTTCATCAGACAGTTAAAGCAAGTGAGAGACTATGCCATCCAGCCAACGATGCACAGCTCATGGGAAAGTGCCCTCAAGGCGGTGCACAATCGGTCGGCTTTGGGCGCCATTTGGATACCAAATAACTACACCGAGTCATTTGATATTCGCATTGAAGACGCCTTCAACGCCGACAATGCCACAGTGGACAACTCTACCATTCGCCTCTACATGGACAACTCGATGTACGTTCAGAGTCTGGAGTTTGTGCACACTCTTCTCGAATCGTTTACGGACTTCTCAAAGACAGTCTTCAAGGAGAAGGACATGCAGGCAATTGAGTTTCCCGTAGAGCTGGAGATGACTGAGCTGTCAAAGGACTTTCGGTTTCGAGACTACTACATGCCAGGCTACTTTCTGCTCTTTATGTACATTGCTCAGATTACCGTCGCCTCGTTGACGTTGACACAGGAACGGAAGGATGGCCTCTTTGAGCGATCTCTGGTCGCCGGCGTCTCCCATGAGCTGATCTTCATTTCTCACATAGTCACCAGCTGCATTATCTCCATTGTACAGATTGTTCTTCTCGACTTGACGGCTTTTGGCATGTTTACTAATCCAAACAATGGCAGCTACTGGCTACATTTTGTCTTCTTTCTCTTGCAAAGTCTCAATGCAATGTAGGCACTAGTCAATGGAAAGTTGTTTCTTCGATGCTAATTGATCTCTTCTTTCAGGTCACTGGGTTTTGTCATCTCCTCACTGATCGACCATGAAGTGGCGTGTCTAATTCTGGTCTGGTTCATCACTATTCCACAAATTCTCTCCTCAGGCGTCTTCTGGCCTCTCGAGTCAATACAGAAGCCGTACATGTACATATTCTATTTATGGCCGCTGTCAATACCAGTGTCAACAATTCGCCACATTGTGCTTCAAGGCTGGGATCTGTCCAACGTGCACGTTCAGTACGGCTTTCTCTCTAGTGGCATTCCAATGATCTTTTTCTTCTACGCCGCCTTGTTGATATTTAAACATAAATAGAAAAAGTCCCTTCTTTTCCTTTTGCACTTTGCTCGTGTACTTTTATTCTTTTCAATGGCAAATTTGAATGCAAAATCTTGCTTTGCATGTTGTGTAATTGGCAATTGATCAAACAGACTCTCTCAGAGTTTTTTCTTTCCTTTTTGTGTGATGGTGTATCGCGATTGATCTCGAGGCGACAAAGTAGGCTTTTTCTCTCTTTTCATCCAAGTGGTGGTGGTGCACTTGTGGAGGTGAAAAGTGAAGGAGGCTGCACAGTGTAAGTGTAGCGTGTCGACAGTAGGTTTGATGGATGCTAGCAGGAGCAGTCTTTTTTGTGAGCCTTTTAGCAATCACTGCTAAAAGGAAAATGGGAACACTGACAGGAGTGCAGCTTTGTTCCATTCAGGGTTACAGTGGAAGCCCGCGGATCAGCAGAAGTAATTGCGTCCATCAGCACCACGACCACCACTCCGACCACCACCACCTTCACCACCCAGAGGACAGACGAGGCTATCCCGTTGGATAATTTTTGTGCCGCGTCAGCAGAAGCAGTGGTCAGCGTCAATGGCTCTGTAAAGTTTTGCTGTTCCACTAGTACACGTAGCAATTACTCACATGCATAGTCAGTCGGTCGATGAGTGAGTTCTGCTAAGCAGCAGTGCTGAGTGATCGAATTGGATGCTAGCAGCAGCAGCAGCACTAGTTGTATTAGTTGGAGCGATCGATAATGATATTCAGCTAGCAGTTGGCTATAATCGCCCTGTTAATGGCAAAAGCTGCCTTGCCGTCTTTTCCTATTGTTGAGAAGACTGCAGTTTTAGCAGTGGACACAAACAATCGCACTGTATTACGAAAACCTCGCACTATTCTGCACTACAGCAGAGAGCAGAGCCACTACTCGCTAGGCTTGTTCATGGCACAGTGTGGTCAGTGTCGGGCAATCCCACCTCTCACAACACACAGTCTGAGGTGACATTTCGACCGCTGATTGAGAGTATATAAAGGGCAAACGGCGGTCAGAGAGGCCATCACAAGCTCACTTCACTCTCACCGCCTGTTGCCCCTGTCGCAAACCGCCACCACACCAACTCCACAATGAAGTTCGTCATCGTAAGTTATTCACTTGTCCATTTGAGTTTTTTCTCGGTTCTAATTTGTAGGAGTGTGAATTGAATATAAAAGATGTAATCAAACGGAATCACCTGTTGCCTTTCAGGCTTTCGCCGCCCTCATCGCCGTCGCTTCGGCTGTGCCAGCTCTGCTGCACGCCCCAGCTGCCGTCACCTACCACAACACCCACCGATCGCTGATCCCCGTGAAGACCATCACCCACACCACCGCCCACGTCGCGCACGCCGCTCCTTTGGTTCATCACGGCTACGGTCACGGTCTGGGTCATGGTGCTCTCCTCGGACACGGTATCGGCCACGGCGCCGTCATCGGCCACGGTGCCCCACTGCTCGCCCACGGCGCCCCGCTCGCCCTCGGCCACGGTCTGGGACACCTCGGCGGACATGGTCTCGGCCTTCACGGCGGTCTCCACGGTGGCCTCCTCCACTAAACGCTTCAGCAATTTATTGCCTCTTTGCGAGTTTGCAAACTCTAGTTTTACATGTAATATATACAATGCAATCGTCAACGTATCAATAAATTATTCCCTTTTCCAACTGCTGATCACTTTACCGCTTGATGTGATGGGAGCAGCATTGGTAAAAACTGGACTTATCTTGTGAGTGTTTGATAAATGATTGACCCTTTAATTGGAGGTAAAATCGCCACCAATAGAACGAGGTCAATTATGAAGGTGATCTAATCTTTCATTGAAAAGATTACTAAACTTGCACAGGCGTCAACACTGTTGTAAAGTGTGCTGACAAACAAATGAGAGAGAGAAAGAGAGAGAGAGAGAGAGAGAGAGAGAGAGAGAGAGAGAGAGCAGTACGCCGACAGTGCCCACATAATCGAAAGTCATCAACTGTCCAGTCAGCATCATCCTTCGCTTTATACATCCTCAAAATGACACTTGAAGGAAGAAACAATCGATCACTGTTCATCAGATAGCGCATCTCCAAGCTTCAATCAATGCTATCCACCTTTCGATGTCACGCTTCTTCACGCTTTTACCATTGTACCGTGTTCAGGAAAAAAAGTTAGAAAAGGACGCACTGTCCTTTACTGCTGATTTTTCAAGACATGTAATTATTTGTAATTCAATTAGTGATGCAAAAAGTACTGTCAGTTTGGGCGTTTTCATCAGTGACCTTGTGTCTACTAAAAATACTGAAACCCCTTTTGAAACCAGACAATAGAGCACACCATTTAAGAATGTTCATGATGAACATGGTGGTGTAATATCATATTCAGTAAGAAGTATGGTGAAGTAACATGCACTGTCGTATAAACTTGGTTATTTATTAAACACTTTTTTGACAGGCAGACTAGTGAAATTAGTTAAGGAAAAAGGCGCACGCACTAAAGCTAAACGAAAGAGAAAAAATGATGCGTTCTTGACAAAGAGAAATCATCAATGATGCGCGCGTGGTAGTGAAGAAGGCCAGTGGAATAGCTCCAAGCAAGCTCCAAAAGAGCTGCGGCAGACTGCGATGGAAAGTTAGAGAGGAGGTAACACCTTTTACATGACTCTTTCAACTCTTCTGCCCATCTTGGCGCATATAAATACCTCTGCTGGTAAGCCGTACAAGCTCATCGAGTCAATCGCCAACCAACACCACCACCAATCATCCTCAACCAACAATGAAGTTCATCGTAAGTTTTTTACTTTTCCTTTGTTCAGTCGCCAGAGTACTGAGCACGTTTAAACACATTTGTTTTCCCCCTCACTTCAACACCAGATTGCTTTCTCCTGCCTGATCGCAGCCGCTTCCGCCGTTCCCTCGGTGGTGGTTGGACCAGCTGCAGTTACCTATCAGTCTCAGAGACAGTACCTTGCTCCGGTTGGCGTGCAGACGTACACCACTGTCCAGAAGGGAGCACCTATCGTCTCGGTGGCATCAGTCGCGGCACCAGTCCTGGCCGCCCCTCTGGCTGCCCCACTGGCCGCCCCTCTGGCCTACGGTGGACACCTCGGTTATGGAGGGTATGGAGGTCCTCTCGCTGCCTCTGTCTACGGTGGAGTTTATGGCGCCCCTCTGGCTGCTGCTCCTCTTGGTCTCGGTCTCGGCGGTCTCGGTTACTCAAAGACCGTTCTCGGTGCCCCAGCTGTCCTGGGTGCCCCACTCTACCACAAGTAAACATCTTCGCAAGTTGGTTTAGAGCACTTCATTGATTCAATGTACATTTAACTGCATTCTGCGTTGAACATTAAAATAAATAAAGTGCCAACTATTTCTCATAAACACCGTTATTTTTAATTGTTAAAGTGTAACTGTTTTTTAATAAAAACAGTAAACAGTTTAGTAAAAGATAAGAAAAGGGCAGTTTTCAGTGTTTTATTGTCAAAGCCAATCTAGCCTGTTGCCTTGAAGTGAACATTTTGATTGATCGCTTCGAGGTCCAGGGAAATGGCTGCCATCACTGGCAATTACTTTATTGCAAGCACTTCATGGCAAAACTACCTTGACAAGACACGTGCAAGTTTCATTTGTACACGGTAACTGCTGAAACAGTGAGTTAGTGCTACGGTAATGGTAGCAAATACTACTTGGTTAGTCTAAAACTGTGAATGAAAAACTTTAAAATGATACAAAATGCTGAAATGTTCAAACTTTTTATTTTTTAAATAATATTTAGCAAATAAATACTTTTTGCTCATGCAACTACCAAAATGGAAAGTGAATGCTCAGATGAAATCCACCCACGTCAATGCTGATAAGTTTTTTATGGTTTTTGCCAGTGTTCTTGTCAGTGATCACCTTTACAATTGGCTGTACTGACTCGGGCTTTTCGTGATCAAAGTCAACAGGCAAAACAGGCAGTAAAGTGCGATCGGGTTTGCTTGGTTTTACTCGGACTGGTTTCCTTGTTGTCAATGGCGCTTGCGCTGCTGGCTCACAGTTAGTCTGACAGACTTCGTTCATGCGCACTGATTCATCCAACTCCATGTGCTTTAGCATTGTCTGCAGTTCGAGAAGAGTCTTCAGCGCCAGTGTCGCCTGTCTGGACATGATCTGCGCCGCTCGTCGGTGTCCAAAGATGGTTCGCTGGCACCGCCAAACAAGAGCATAGCGTTCGTAGTCAGTGGCCACCACCTGGTAGTGCTTCATGTTCAGCATTCCCGTCTCAGTGAAGGGATAGCTCACTTCCATTTCAGCCTGACTCACATTCGATATGAACTTGATTTTGCCTGAAAAAAATAGTAAACGAGTCAGACTAATTAGTTAGTTTTATTGTTACTGAAACACAAAGCATCTTTTAAACGTGACGGCAAAGATGTTGCTTGATGATGCCATGTTAGTACTGAACGCGTTTGGCCATTGCCATAAGCTCTGATTTTCACTCACCTGTTTCGTGCATCAGCTGCCGATTGTCAACAGACAGATAGCTCCTCTTCACCTGATACGATTGCTCTGAATCTTTATCCGATTCAAGTTCATTTCTTGCCATATCCAGCAGCTCCTTCTTATTCGTGCCCTCCTCAGAGACGGTAAAGTTTTCCCGCAAACAAAGCATTGCATTGTCGTTGTAGTTCTCAATTACGTACC